TGTGTGCGTGTGTGTGTGTTCGTGTCTGTGTGAGTACGTTCGTGTGGGAGTGGGGTGGGATGAAGGGGTGGTGGTGGTGGTGAAGTTGAGGGTGAATAAATGTCCTTCGAGAAACAGACGGTGAATACACTCCTTTTTTTAGTCTCGTGATGAGAAACCAAACAAACGGGAGTTAAATTGGATGAAGAAAAAACAAACAAAACAAAGGCCAACCCCCCCCCAAAAAAAACAACAACCCCCCCCCCCCCTTCCCAAAACCCCCAACTCGAACCAAACAAACAAAAGAACCCTAACCGATTACAATTGTTACGTGGCCCAGATAACATAGATATCTACCCAGTCCTATAGCCCGCTACAAGTTTCCTTGCTGCCTTCGTCGTTGATTTAGACAAGATATCAGAGTGTATCAAAGAAATACGTGGGTCAAACCACCCTGACCTAGATTTTTGTGTTTTGTAAAGAAAGGAAAAGCAAAGTGAACCCATCCCATATCTTTTTACAATATTTTTTTCTGTTATCAAAACAAACGAAGTTGGGTTGTTGTTTTTTACTCCTTGACATACAGGACAGAAGTGGCTCTCCAAAATGCGCTGCTCCTAGGAATTTATCCCGTACACGGCATTTGATAAGCAGTCATATTGTAGAATCCGGGGAGGGGGCAGAAAGTGGAGACGAATGCAGACGAATAAACATGGTCAGAGGGTAGCAAAGGAGGTGAAAGGAGAAAATTGTTAAATATAAAATTTTCTGTCGCTGTCAGGTTTCGAACCAAGGACCTATTGAACGAATGGCAAACACCGTACCTCTAGACCACAAGAGTCCTGCCTCCTAAATGATATAAATTTGTTTCGATGAAGGACCCAACCAAAGCTATCTTTGTGGTAAGAAAGCCGAGGACCCAACGCTTAGAAGCGTATAGGAAGTACCGTTGTTTAAAAAATAACGCACAGAACTACTTAAAAAGATCAACAAATGACTGAAGAAACTGCTGCTGTGTGAAAAAGTGGAGGGACAGAAGAGCAGTGGAAGACAAAGAACAGCATACACAGACGGCCTGAACAAATTCGGGACGAATAACACAAAGAGGAAAACACAAGCTGATTAAGAAAACAGACAACAGGACAAAGGCAAAAGGTCTCTGAGGTCCTGTGTGCAAGTTTCGCACGTTAAGGATCCCCTGGAGGTCCAAAATCGATAATAGGCTTCAGCCGCCACCCGGGCAAAATTCAAAGTCTCCTACCAACTGAAAATGTTTAATGTGTCCCGCGCACTCATACACTAACAGAAAACCAACAACAAACAAACAAAAAACAAAAAACAAAAAAGACAACAGGGAGGAGTGGGGTACCGTGATCGTCAATGTCTGCTCCAAACCGGACACGGGAAGAAGTACTACAGAGTGGCTACGAAATTCACCATGGAGGAGCTACCGTGTGATTGTATCGATACACGTATACACATTTCAAAATTCTATGATATAAAATTCATGGGTTTGAAAAAGAAATTGGCCCAAATATAATAAGGGATGAGGCAATCACCCAGGGCCTAGATTTGCCGAAATTGGAGGGCGTGGCCAGAGATAAAAAAGCGTGGCGTCAACTGCTCTCCGCCTTATGTACCAGACTGTACAGGGACAAAATAAGTATGTAAAAAAAGTATGAGCACATTATCATTAGCATTCCCTGGCTGTTCCATATTTGGAACTGTCATAAAATAAACATTCATAGCGTATCTCATCAAAGCATGAATACCCATGCAGGATTGTATAAGAACTGAGTTGTTTTTTAAGCACGCATGTCCTGACTTATGAAAGTGACGTGCCTTGATAACTATATACGGCCAAAAGTATCTGATATTGCCACGCATAACTAAAACAGTCTCTAGGTCTACGTGCACAGACATGATTCCCAATGTGTCACAGACTTCAGATATTTTGTTTCCAGTTAAAAAAAAAAATCTTATCCCCACATTTTAAAATTCAGGGTGAACCCGGCTGAGAGTGATTAGGTGCCCCAGTAGAAAGACTTAGATCCTGGGTGCCGGTTATCGAGCCGAAGTCTCCTGGGTACAACTGCGAGGCGCCTAACTTTACCAAACAGAGACTGGTGACATGGAAGTGCAAAAGCAGCAGTTTGATAAGACGTACTCGAAAAACGTTTGTTTTTTTCCTGTAAAGTTAGTGTTTATTTGGGGTGGGGGAAAATGGGGAAGGGGGAAGTTGGTGCTCTAAAGTCGTGGCAAGTTGTCTCTTCATTTTGCTTGTTTATTATTTTTTTTTTTGAGTAAAGAAAAGTACATCGACACAATAAATGTCATTTAGTGGTGGGAAAAGGTAAGACAGACAGAAACAACAGAGGGAAGGTTAAGAAGTAGGACCTACTAGTGGCGCCCTCCAACCACCCACGACTTCATTTTGCCTTACCTTTGGGTCCTTGTGAGAGAGCAAGCGTACGGACTAGCTGGTCCATGCCGGCCTTTGCCATCTGGTACAGCTGATTCCACAATACAGGCATAGTGGACACGATAGATGACACACACACGATGTTGCCTTTGGTTTTCTCCAACAGGGGGAGCGCTGCCTGAATCAGGAAGTAAACAGATTTGAGGTTGGTGTTGAAAACGAAATCAAACAATTCTTCCGTGTCGTCTTCTATTTTGGTCTTGGGAGATACACCAGCGTTTGCTATAAGAACATCCAGCTTCCCGAACTTGGCGATCGTCTCCTCCAGAATTCGGTCCCGTGCCGCCTTGTCGTTGAGGTCACCTTGGACAGTTATAAACCTATCTGAGTTACCTCCGCTTGCTTCTTGGCATTTTCCGAGGACAGATTGGAGCCTCTCCTCATCCCTCCCACACAGGGTGACCATCGCACCTCGCTGTGCAAGCAACAGAGCTATGGACTCTCCTATACCGGAGTTAGAGCCAGTTACCACAACAGATTTGCCAGCGAAGTCCTGAGAAGACATGGCCAAAATATGAAATGCAATCTGACTACAGTCTAACCTCTTTAACGTATGTGTGTATTAATTTTGTTTAAATGGACCTCTGGAAACTGTAGCAGATATGTTGCAGTCTGAGCTTACTAATCGTTGGCTGCCCCGAGAGGGAAATGCAACGCCTGCCCCGACAGCCTATATTTATAGCTGTACAACACGTACTAGGTTTTGTTTTGTTTTGTTAGACTGGAGTTTTACGTTCATGGGAGAGAGTGCTCGACCCTAGGGGGGAGAGAGAGAGAAAGAGAAAGAGCGAGCGAGAGAGAGATGGGGGGGGGGGGGGCAGAGAGAGTAAGAGAGAGTGAGAGTGAGAGAGAGACAGGGAGGGACAAAGAGATAGACAGATAGATATATAGATAGATAGATAGATAGATAGATAGATAGATAGATAGATAGATAGATAGATAGATAGATAGATAGATAGATAGGTAGATAGATAGATAGATAGATAAAGTTAGTGTTAGTGTCACTGTACTTTTCTTTACTCAAACAGACACACTCAGAGAGAGAGAGAGAGAGAGAGAGAGAGAGAGAGAGGAGAGAGAGAGAGAGAGAGAGAGGGGGGGGGGAGAGAGAAAATAAATCTTCGTGTGTTTGAAAACGTTCACATTACCTTTAGATCTGTATTATCGAGTCATCTGATAACATCTTCTTAAAAAAACGACATATCGTTGTGATCTAACCTAAGCTAATGACAGACAGTTTCGAAGTAAGTCTAGCTTTGGTGGCGCCGACATCATGCTTACAGTTAGGCGGGTGAAGCATGACACATATGCGTGCAATTAGGCGGGTGAAACATGACAACTGTTCAGATGTACACTTGTACTTGGCCAAAAATTCTGAATAAAAACCCAATTTGATTGCAGGTTCTTAATCTGGGATGGCTGTTGCACAAGCTCGAGAAATATTTTTTAGAATTTTTTTTTTTTTTTAGAGATCTGTAAATTCACTGTTTATACATATATATGTCCATCTACAGTATGCTGGCTCGTCTCTGAAGCGGAAAGTCTGGGTTCGAGCCTCGGTTCGGACACAGATTTTCGCTCCCTCCTGTCCACCCAGCAGTAATGGGTACCTGACTTCGAGTTGGGGAAGTAAAGGCGGCGTGGAGAGGAACTGGCCACCCCACCACATTATGCCGAAGGCCCAGGAAGTTGTCTCACTAACAAGGCAATCCCCAATGTCCCTATCAGATTTGGGAACAACTTTACTTAACAGTATGCTGCTTGCGGGCAGAAAAAAAATATTATGACAATGACAATAGCACTGGAAGTCTATATTTATCTCGCGTTGAGAGGTAGTTTGTCCTGGTTGTTTACAACAGCTGAGGCGTTACAAAGGTCACGTGTACCCACGCATATAAACAACAGGAAAGGAATAGAAACCGGGTGTCTAAAACAAAAGACCCACTTAAACAGCAATGGCTGGGTACATGTGCCAATTTCACATAACTTCACCCCCCTCCACCTCCCCCCCCCAAAAAAAAAATCAACTCTGGGGACGTTACACTGGTCAATATGGAAAAAAAATTAATTCGTTGAAAAACAAATTAATAGAGAATTGATATTTCTAAATAACTGCCAAAGAGAGTGCTCGCTATTTAATTCTCCAGGTGTAGATCAGTTCTTTCAATAATGAATAACTCGGTGGCGTGTTTCTGGGTCGAATCTTTGGACGTCCTATTCAACATTGAGTATCAACTGTTCGACTGTCTGTAGGTTGTTTTCCAAGACTGTCTGTCAAAACCACCCAAAGGTAAAAATTGAAGGGACTCAAGATGGGGGGAGCGTGGCAACCATTCATTTGTAAATTTTCGGCTCATAAAGCATTCCCCAAACCTTTCTTGCAACCATATCAGGGCCATTCTTGACTTTTTGAGTTGTGGATCCATCCCAATAGTACCAGGCCTTTACAACATAGCAAGTAGTCCCCACACTTCGTCTTGGCACGTTTAGATGTATATCTGATATGACTGTTATTGTTTTACCGTCCTTGTCTTAAAACAAGAACGGACCTATCACGCCCCTGTAGCTGAACGCTTATGAGATGTAAAATTTTGCGTTTTACCCAATTCTGGTTGACATTCTTAAAATTTCAAATTTCTCGAAAAAGTCTGTTGATTTCCTTCATACATGTATTAACAAATCTGACGTCCTCATGGTCAAATTTTATTTGTTAGAATTTTGATTGAAATTAGTGTAGAGTTGATCGAGTTATTACTCTTTAAGTGGGTCCTTTTTTTAGACACTGTGTACATGTGTATTACGTGCTGAAACAACTCTGCTACATAAACTGTCTGTGTGTTTGTCTGTAAGTCAGTCTGTTTGTCTGTTTATATGTCTGTCTGTCTGTCTGTCTGTCTGTCTGTCTGTCTGTCTGTCTGTCTGTCTGTCTGTCTGTACCCCCCCCCCTCTCTCTCTCTCTCTCTCTCTCTCTCTCTCTCTCTCTCTCTCTCTCTCTCTCTCCCTGTTTCTGTTTATCTCTTAGACTGTGAAAGTAGAACTAGACGAAATAAACAGAACTGTTGCTAGTAAGTAGTTATGTCACTTTTGTTTCGTTGTAGTGCCTGTGTTCTTGAAATCCTCCTAGTTCTTCATCTTAATTAGTGATGAGGAAAGCTTCGTTAACAAAATTGTGTCTTTTGATAACCATTGTTAACTTTCAATCTGCAGGATTCAAGAGCACCAATAAAGATAGACAAGTTACATGAATGAGGACAGGCAAGACATGTGACATATTATTATTTTCTAGTGTTAAAAACTTATTGAACAAAGATGTAAAAGCCTTGCAGGTATCTTACTGTTACAGGTGTTGTGTGTATGACTCTGGTGGAGTGTAGGTTTACAGTCTGACGCTGAATCTAAATTATGTCATCTCTATATATTATATTTGTGAAAGTTTGTCCCTTTGGCGGCCTAAAACTTCCGATCCACTAAACTTTAGAATTTGACAAAATTAATGGTGCTTCAGAATCATTTAAAAGGTGCACAGTTTCATTGAGGAGCCTGAAGTAACGGTAGTTTAAATGTCAGATTATTTTCATTAGTTTCGTTTAGATCTAATCTTTGGAAAGTCCGTCTTCTAAGACACCATTGTAAACAAGTGAGGTTTTTGATCACTAGCCGTGCGCACTGTTTCCACACCTTTGCAATTATGGAGTACACAACCACGAAAGCGGAATAGAGAATCAATCTATACATCTATTATCTATTTGGCAACTTGGAAACTCATGTGTCACTTTTCTCTCAAGATTACTGGCTCCGTTCCAGTAGATTGTAACTATAGTAGTTGATGTTAATGCATCAATAATTCCTTTTATCGAAAGGGGCCCAGCTAGGGTACCATAAACGTTTTCATAAGAAGTTTATTTCGTATTCAGATAAACACCTGGGGTATAGACTCTGTAATAGAGTCTAGTAATAAGCGTGTTCGTATCACACGCGAAGGTTGTATGGGGGAGGGGTGGTGGTGGTGATGAAAAGAGAGAGGTAGGGGTTGATTATACCGACTTTTGACAGTAAGCTTCCGCATATACCTCACTCTTCCCCTTCCATCGCAACTCTCGAAAACTCACTCTTCCCTTTCCCCCAACCACTCATCCCCCCCACCACGCATCCCTTCCCCAACCACTCAAACCTCCCCCCCCCCCAAAAAAAAAAAAACCACGCATCCCTTCCCCGACCACTCATCCATTTCCTTAATCACTCACCCCCAACCTCTTATAATGTGCACTGACTAAGAGGTACGGGGGTAGTTGTATCGATTCTGGAAAATGGGCAAAAGAAAAACTATTTTTAAGAAAAAAGGGGGAGGGGGAATCCTATGAGTGGCACAATGAAATACGAAGAATATTATGCCCTGCATTGGCTTCTAGTTGATAAAAGAATCAAATATAAAGTTTCTACCATTTCTGTAATAAACGTCTTAACAATAATGCCTCATCTCATCTGTCGGAGCTTTTAACATCGTATGCTCCATCTCGTCAGTTACGGTCATCCACAGACATAACAAAACTTAGAGTAGCAAGAATGAAATTAAGATTTTTGGGTGAGAGAAGTTTCCCTTTTTTTGCCTTAGGTCTAGAAGCTGGAAATCCTTGCCCGAGGACCTTAGAGAAAAAAGCAAATCTTAACACCTTTAACTTTAAGCGATTGCTCAATACTCATAATTTGTTTAATTCTTAGTTGTAGTTAATAAGTGCTGATATGTTTTGTTTTTACTGTTGTCCTTGCGTGTACATCACTAATGTGTGGTTGTGAAAGTTCTCCTTTATGTGGTTGAACATGGCTCAATTTATTAGACCATCCAGATTTGCGCATAATTTGGAGACACAAGGGAGACCAATGACGCTGTTGATAAGTCACTACCTCTCAATTACAAAGTTCTATCTGACATTTTTGGCCATCTTGAGTTACTAAGACCGTAAGGTTAGAAACCAAATGTTCTATCCGCTCTATCGAAATCGTTAGACTGTTATGAGTCATCATCAATATATTCAAAGAAGTGCATTCGAAAAAAGCTTGAAATGATGTGAGACTCAAAACTTTTGACGTCAAATCTGTTAAAACTGGGAAATGTGCAGATTGAACTTTTTAGTTTTTAGGTTAAGAAATGTCAATACAGAAAATTTATGCATGCAAAAAGTAGGCACCAGTTTGCAAGAATATACACTTTTCAGTTCTTGACTATAAGGTAAGATTAATCTTTATTGTCCAGACAACGGTACATTGGGTTGGTGTTTCACCATACATACATACATACCTACATACCTACATACACACAGACTCACAAACACACACACAAACGCGCGCACACACACACACACACACACACACACACACACACACACACAAACAAACATTCACATATACACCCATACACATATGCACACACACCCATACACACATACCCTCTCACACACTCTCACCTCTTCACGCATAAACACACATAATATAGGCCTATGCTTGCACTCAGAAACAGACCCATAGTCTCACACACACACACA